CTAATCTGATGTTCACCTCACTCAGGTATCATTGGTTCTGGCTCAGGCTACTCATATTCTTTCTTCAATTTTTTTCCTCTCTTCTTGGTGTCAAATACAACCTCAATTTTCCCCCAACTTCACTGTCTTCTTGGCTTTTTAATCTTCTGAATCTCTATGTGCCTACCCCATCAGATATATTCAGTCTCAGAGCTTTCATACTGTCTCTAAGCTGATTATTCCCAAATTATATCTCTAGCTTGGAAGTTGACTTTGAACTCTGGACCTATAAGTCCTAGTGCTGATTTTTGCCATTTTGTCTCCAGATTCATCCCCCTAGCCCCGCTTCCTCTGCTCTACTTTGTATTTTGGAGGGATCTGACTCTGCAGGCTGCATTTCTTAGGCTCCTGTGTCAGCCAGCTACAGGCTACATTTGACCCACAGGAGGAACTGCTGGGAGCTTGGGGGACAAGAGGAAGGAAAAGCCATGGTATTTTTATATCCCCTCTTTCATCCTTGGGCAGTGTCTCTGCCAGACGCTGCTGCACAGCACTGCAACCTGTAGTCTCTGTTGACTTTATCTTCCTTCAATGCCTGAGCCCTTCCTGCTATTGCTAATCTCCATGGGGCTTCCCTAAACCCTGCTGCCTTACGGTGTGACCATTTCCTCTGTTTGGAATACCTGGAGCAGTCTGTTTCCTGATGGGGCCTTAGCAGGCGCGAGTATTTAGTAAAATGGAAACTGAGCCCATTAGCACCATCCTTGACACCACTTTCCCTCGCATACCTGTATCCAACCACCAGCAAATTGTGTTGGCTCGACTTTAGGAACATACCTGGAGTATTTTTCTTCACCTCGTCTACTCTCACCACCATAGACCAAGCCATCATTAACCCTCACTTGGTCTACGCTAGCAGTTAGAGTGGTCTTTCAAACTCTAAGCCAGATTATGTTGCCTTTCTATGGAAAACCTTCCACCAGCTTTTCACTTTGTTCAGACTGGAAAAAGCAGCCTTTACCACTGGCCCTTAAGGTGCTAACTACCTCTAGGACTTCATTTTCTACCACTCTCCCCACACACATTCTGTTCCAGGGACACTGACCTCATTGCTTTTGCTAGAACCATCCAGGGATATTACTGCCTCGGGCCTAACATCCTCATTGCACATCCTCAGAGCACACCCTGGCATGCTTTTCCTCCAGGATCAACATGGTTCTCAATCACCTTTTTGCTTGTGGTGTAGATGCCACTTCATCAGGGTCCTTTTCTGATGACCTTATATATAACCTTGCATGCTCTTCGTTATCCCTTTACTCTTTTGTTGTTTTTCATGGCGCATGGCTCTTTCTACTACTTTATATTATATGGTTCGTTATTCACGGTGTGTCTCTTCTCATTCGAATGAAAGCAGGAAGGCCGGACCTTGTTTGGTGGGATACTATAAATCTCAGTTTCTCAATAATGCTTGGCATGCTTAGTGATAAAAATAAAATGGACAGCAAGAAGGCTTTGCAACGCTAAATGCATAATTTGAAGCAGAGGGTGCAGGCCCACTGGAGCGCTAGGAGTGACCAGAGATTTGCTGCCTGCAGGGGGAGTAGGGGCTGCTGCGGCCTGGGAGGCGGAGCCTGGCCGCCGCACCTCTAGGGCCCGCCCACAGCGCATGCTCCCCGGGGCCGCGGCGTGGGCGGGGCCTTCGGCGTGGGCGGGGCTGAGCCCTCAGCTGGGGCGGAGTCTCCACCGCTCTGACCCGCTGCTCGGATTCGGGCGCTCACAGCCTTAGCTGGTCGTGCACGCCGCCCCCGTGTCGGCCTGTCTCCGCCCCCGCCGAGCCCCTCCCCGAGCCCCTTCCCTGCTCCGCGAGTTACGGGCTCTGTGAGCGGCCACTGCGGCTCTGGACTGTGACCGGAGGACGCCCCAGGTGAGTCCCGCTGCTCCGCCCGTGCGGGTGCGGCATTCGGGTCAGCCTGGGCCGGTCGGCGGGGAGGGTCGTGCCCGGCTCCCGGAGTCTCAGTCCTGCCTTCCCTGAGCTTCTGCAGGCCGGCAGCAACCCCCTGCGCTTGGCCCTCCGCGTCCTGTCTGGGGCACCTCCCAGTGACCAGGGGTAGGGAGCCCTTTGAAGTTGTCCGCTCTCCCCGGTGCCCTCCAACCCTCAGATTCTTCCGTCTGCTGTGATTATTGATTATTGATGATTGATTCCCAGCTCCCCTTCTTCTTCCTCCTTCTCCTCTACGCCCCGCTAGCTCCTTCAGGCAGGCAGCCTGCCCGACCTAGCTCAGAGCTTGGTCCAGGGTGGACTTTGGCACTGGTCCTGGTGAAATTTAAGGCGACACTACTTAGCCAGATGTCACTTTGCTCTCAGGACTTAACTTGGGTGACTTGAGAAAAGGATGTAAGGGCACTGCATAAAGCTGGTAGAAAAGTAATTCACATCGTGAGTCCAAAGACACCATAGCAAGATACTGTTACTGTTGTTATTATAAAGCTACATGGCAAGCTGTTTTGGAGCTTTTCTTCAGCAGCTGAACTGTTGGACTGCCCCTATTCCATACTGCAAACATTGGTATTGTGCATCTGATATGTGAGTGGCGCTTGGCTGGATCCTAGGGGTTCCAAGTTGAATCAGACACCCACTCTGCCTTGGGGCTGGGGTGAAATGGAGGCAGATAAGCATGTCACTGGATTGTTGCAATATGGAAAGGACTGAGACAAAGTCACTGAGCACATGTAGAAAAGCACTGGGTGTCCAGCTCTGGAATGCCCCCCGAAAGGAGCTTTTACTCTCCACTCTCCGTTTACCCTTGTCAGCCTTCCTCCCTGCAAGAATCACTTGAGAAAGTGATTGAGAAACGTGCTTGGTGTGGTGTGTTGGAAGGAAAAGTTAGCTGGGCCCTGTTTATTTCCTTGAGCGGCTTCAGCTGTTACCTCCTGGAGGTAACAGCTGGTCCCAGTTCTGGAGGGTGCTGAATGGAGAACAGCCGCTCCTGCTGGCTGCCTCGTTGCGTTCATTTATGGTGATAACCTTTCATTTTTTTCTTTTCAACCTACCTGTACTCCTGAGTAATAATGGAGTTTTGGGAGGTTGATAAAAGGTAGCCAAGGATGGTACAGCCTTTCTAAACGCCACGAAGAAACACAAACTTTTGCATGAATGCAAGTGGCTTGCTCTGCCAGTGTAGACCCCAACATGACCCCCCACCCCACCCTGTCCACAAGGTCGGAGCTCACCACTGCTTGTAGAAATGAGGGCAGCACCAGTAGGATTTGCATCCACAGGTGTCCGTCCACTTTTGCAATCTCCTGAGAACCAGTTTCTTAAGATTCGTGGAATACAGGCCAACCTGGAAATACTTTGTGTTTGGTTCCAGCATAAAAAAAAAAAAAAAAAAAAAAATTGCCAGACTCACTGAATTGCTGTGGTCTGGAGCCAAATGCGCACTGTCACCGAGATATGCCTGTACTCGAGTTAAGCATCATCTTTTAAGAGCAGCTGAATTGTATTATTGACATTAAATAAAAAGACATACTCTAAATTATACAGTTTAATAAGCTTTGACTATGCGCAAGCCTGTGAAAACTCAGTAAATGCAATACAATAAATCTATCCATCACTCCCCCCAAAAGCTTCCTTGCACAAAGCCTCTTGTAACCCTTTCTTGCCACCCCCTTTTCCTCAGACAGCCATTGATCTGCTGTTTATCAATATAGATTAGTTTTATAAAAATGGAATCATATGTAATTTTTTGGAGGGCCTGGCTTCTTTCACTCACTGTAATTATTTTGAGATGCACCCATGTCATTGTGTTCATTCTTTTGTATTGCCGAGTAGAATGCATATACCACAATATGATTGTTCATTCACTCATTTGGGCATTTGGACTTTTCCCATTTGGGGCTATTATACACAATCTGTTATAAACATTTTTATACAAGTCTTTGGATGGGCATACACACATAGATATTTATTATTATTTTTTAATCCCACCCGAGAATATTTCCCCATTGATTTTGAGAGAGAGTGGAAGAGAGAGGGAAAAACAGAGAGAAATATCGATGTGAGAGAAACACATCGATTGGTTGCCTCCTGCACATGCCCTGACCAGGGCCCAGGCTGGGGAGGAGCCTGTAACCAAGTACCTGCCCTTGACTGGAATCAAACCTGGGACCCTTTGGTCTGCAGATTGACGCTCCGTCCACTGAGGCAAATTGGCTAGGGTGACACATAGATCTTTATAAATAAGTATATTTGTTTTAAAAAAGCTAGGAGGCCCGGGCCTTGCCTTAACCATCGGGGTGTCCTTGGGAGAGCCACTTCACTTTGCCTTTAACATCCATCCCCAAGTCTTTGCAGTGCCGTGATTTTGTGCCCGTCACCGCCAGAAAGGAGATGGTCATTGCTGATGGTTGGAGGGTTTCAGAAGGAGAGAGAGGTGGTTTCTTTGCCTCTGATGCTCTTGCAGGATCTTTTCTTTTACTTCACTTTTCCCCCCGGGGTGACAAATTTCAATGCTGACATATAATTTTGAGAAAGAATGGAAATGAGTAAGTAGGAGTAGGGTGGGGATGGGGGGGAGGAGGGGGAGATGGGAGGAAAGAGCTAATATTGGCCAAACTCAAACATGTTTAAATCACAATTAGGGAGGAAAATGTGGGAGGTTAACAGGCTCTGGACTTTTGAGGATCTTCCTTTTTCTCGGCCTACTTTCTTCCATTTCCTCCATTTCTCCAGCAACAATTTAACCTCATGATGAAGAGATGAGTGGGTGTGCTAGGTCATGTGTTAATTGGGGGGTAACTATTGGGAAGGTTTCCTAGTAAAATAGAATTCCTTCTTCTTCTTCTTTTTCTTTTCTTTTTTTAAAAATTGGCTTCCAGATATGACTTGTTTCTTATTTACCCTTTACCCACCTTTTACTTGCCCTAAACCTGGTTCTGAACTTTTTATGGGGACATTCATCTATCAGCATTATTATGTGTAGTGAAATTTGAATAAATAACAATAGACTGTTTTGTACAGAATGAAAATGTGGCTCTTGGGTTTGGTGTTGTGTGTGGCCCTCGGGACCCTGCATTCCGAGACGTCTAGAGAGAAGCAGGTGGTTGTGGATCCTGAAGTGAATATGAACGTGGTAAGTTTCCCAAAGTCACCTACTTTTGAAATGCATGTGACAGATGTTAACTATTTCCTTAAATTCAGTTATGTGGGCTACATAGAGCCACAAACTCGAATCTCTCACTATTTCATAGTGCTTTTCATGTTCTCTGAATCTTAGATTTAGTTTGCCCCATCTTCCCACCAGGTGATGTATATTTTGCAGATTGCATCCTATTGTTAAAACTATATACTTCTCACTGAGATAAATGATATTTAAGTGTCACTAAATGTGCTTATAGAACAGTAAAAACAAGTCAAAACTTTGCAAGAATGTTACTGAGTGCTGCTTTTACAATACACGAAACAAGGATTGTGATCAGCAAGGTCCAGGAAGCACAGTTCAATACAAAAATAAAAATGTCTCAAAACATTTTGTTAGCCCTAACCGGTTTGGCTCAGTGGATAGAGCGCCAGCCTGTGATTGGAAGGGTCCCAGGTTCAATTCTGGTCAAGGGCATGTACCTTGGTTCTGGGCACATCCCCAGTGGGGGTTGTGCAGAGGCAGCTGATCAATGTTTCTCTCTCATCAATGTTTCTAACTCTCTATCCCTCTCCTTTCCTCCCTGAAAAAATTAATAATATATATATATTTTTAAAAAACCACCACATTTTGTTAGAACAAAAAAGCAAAACTAATCCCTTGAGTAATTAAAACATGTCCAAATTTTCAATCTTAAGTAAACAATGAAGTCTGGAAATACCTTATTTATGCATAAAGGTTTGGGAAAGTAGAGATTTCTAAGCAAAACTAAGCAGGATAGGACCTCTTAAAATAAGAATAGTGGTAGTTCACATACTTAGCAGGTGCATTTATTTATTTATTTTGTTTTAAAATATATATTTTTATTGACTTCAGAGAGGAGGGAGAGAAAGATAGAAACATCAATGAAGAGAGAATCTTTGATCAGCTGCCTCCTGCACATCCCACTCTAGGGATTAAGCCCACAACCCCGGCATGTGCCCTGATTAGCTGGTACATTTAGAAAAGAAAGAAGAGTGTTTACTTGTGCCTGGAAGCCAGGATGAAAACAAAGAGGCCCAAAGCTATGATAAAATTAGTCATTGTTGGTGCAGAACATGCCAGAATGATGACACCAAATTTAACCAAACAACTGTGTGTAGAACACATGGATAAAACAAGTGGAGGGCTTCCGAGACCGGTTTGGCTCAATGGATAGAGCGTCGGCTTGGGGACTGAAGGGTCCCGGGTTTGATTCCGGTCAAGGGCATGTACCTTAGTTGCGGGCATATCCCCAGTAGGGGGTGTGCAAGAGGCAGCTGATCAATGACTCTCTCTCATCGATGTTTCTAACTCTCTATCTCTCTCCCTCTCTGTAAAAAATCAATAAAATATATTTAAAAAAAACCAAAAAAACAAGTGGAGGATTTACTCTTGTGGTGGGTGTGCTTCTGGATTCAGCAGGCTAAAATCTCAATCACAGTTGATTTTGTTACTGATTAAAAAATGTTTTTTTAAAAATTAATTTCAGAGAGGAAAGGAGAGGGAGAGAGAGAAACATCAATGATGAGAGAGAATCATTGATGGACTGCCTCCTGCATGGCCCCTACTGGGGCCCACAACTCGGGCATGTGTCCTTGCCCAGAATCAAACCCAGGACCTTTCAGTCAGCAGATGGATGCTCTAACCACTGAGGCAAACCAGTCGGTTTCTTAAGTGAAGTCTGGAAAATGTCATTGACATTGTGTCTTCTTCTTTGCCTGTAAATATGGGAGATCTTACAGATTCTGTCCATAGAATTTCCATTATAATAATTATTTTTTTCTCTGTAGAGTGAAATTATCTCTTACTGGGGATATCCTAGTGAGGAACATCTAGTGGAGACAGAAGATGGGTATATTCTTGGCCTCCACCGAATCCCTCACGGGAGGAAGAACCATTCTGATGAAGGTATTGGTGTTTTCTGTGTCAAGATAGGAAAGCTTGGTATTTGGCCAGAAATTTAATTTCTACCTCTTGAGATTTTTATGTCTTATGGATACTTACTGTTAATCTTCCTTTCAATAAGCATGGTACAGAAATGAGTAGTGAGAAGCGAGGGCTTCTATTTTTCCTCCTGCTCAAAACACACAAAACATTTATTTTAGAGAGATCATATGATCTTGGTTTCCTTCCTTATTTTCTTTTTTAGAAAAAATAAACCCTGCATATTGATTTTTAGATTCCATATGTAAAGAAAATATGATTTCTCTTAAAAGTGGTGAGTTGACTGATGTAATGAGTAGTGTGAGTCACTGCTAACAGATGTAGGAATCCTCAGTAAAAACAAGTGTAGAGAATGCGCCTCCTCTTTTTTTAAATCACTCCTTCCAGGCTTCTCTGTCCACCTGGTTATTAAGCAAGTAGCGCCACATGCCCTACTTGTGTGCATCAGGGCACAGGTGGGGGAAGGTGCTGTGCCTTGGAGCCTGAGGAAAGTGAGCCTGATTCCTAATGGCTCCCAGGTGGTGGGAGGAAGAGCGAGGAGAGCCCAGGGCCAGGTCTGGGTCAGCCCCGCAGTGCCTGTATGGCTTTGTTTGGGATCTTCCTCTGTGAGAACAGCCGATGGGCTGGAATAATCTCAAAGTCCCACTTCCATCTTTCTCACTCTCTGTTTCTCTGGGCTGCATGCTATCTTCTTTTTCTTTTGTCTTGTTTTGGCAGCTGTTAGAGCAGTGGATACTCTTGGCCTTCAAAATGGGGAACAGAGACGGAAAGTACCCTACACCTGGCCCTAGCAGGAGGTCCCCACCTTCTTCCTTTGCTCTGCAGAGGCCTTCCTGTCGGACCGGTGGTGCGCACATACACCTGCTGTGAGCTGAGCTCGGAGGGCAGGGGAGCGGGAGGAAATCTGTGGTTTCCCGGAGCGCGGCCCCTGCTCCCAGGCCGAGGCTCCTCATCGTCCTGCCCTCCCTCCGGCAGGAACAGTGCGGTGGGCGGTGTGCCTTTGGCTCATTGAAGCCAAAGAGACAGAAAGGATTCATTAGGGCTTCACACAGAGCTTGTTGTCTTCTCATTCATCAGCTTCCTCTTCCTACTTCCTCCTCTATTAATAACACCATCGCCCTCCTAACGACCTCGACTAGAAACTGCAGAATCATTCCTGCTCCCATCCAGTCTTCTCTAGGCTGCTCGCTTCAATTTATTCCTTCCTTCGCTTTGGTAGGCTGCCACCCTATCTTTTAAAAAAATTTTTTTTATTGATACTGAGAGAGAGAGAGAGAGAGAGAGAGAGAGAGAGAGAGAGAGAGAGACATCTATGAGTGAGAGAGAAACATTGATCAGTTGCCTCCTGCAGGCTTCCAAACTGGGGATCGAAACTACAGCCTGGGTGTGTGCCTTGACTTGGCATCAAAGCCACCACCTTTTTGGTGCATGGGATGATGCTTCAGCCAACTGAGCCACCCGGCCAGGGCGCCGCCATCCTACCTTATGTCCTCGTTACCATTTAACTGGACGCCTGAACTAAGATCAGAATCTGAGAGAGGCTTGAGCCTCTCTCTTAAAAACTCCAACTTTAAGACTTCCCATATGTTTAAAAAAAAAAAGAAAGAATTTTGAAACAGGAATATGAAAATTTAGTCTGCTTTATCTTTTAAGAAATCAGTGCTTTTAACATCGTAGTATAATGACTTATACCATTTTTAAGTTATTACAAGCAACATTGAAACATTATTCATTTAGGGGGGCTAAGTGAAACAGTTCCTGTTAACACCCTTTAAAGGTTTTTTTTTTTCCCTCTTTTTTTTTTTTGGCTGTACTGGGGTGCTGCCATGTCCCGAGTTTACATCATATAGGACCATGCTTCAGTCCTGTCCCAGTGGTCCCCTCTGGCCACATGTGGAGCCTCATCTGGGGATTATTGGAAGTTTTATGATCACAGGACTTACCCACATGGCTCCTCTACACATGCCAACTGCTCTCTTTCCCGCCAGCCTCCCTCTTTTCTCCCCTTGTATGCAATTTCTCGGGATTAAACATAATTAATTGATTTAATATGTTTAATAATTAAATCAATTCATTATGTGATTTTGCCAGTCAGCAATTGACAGGACCCTGCTCAATGAAGATATATACACCTTCCCTTCATCTTCTGTCTTGTCTGTACTGTTCGCCCCTCCCCCTTCTGTAAGCAGTAGGCCTTTGACGTTCACCTTGGCTGTGGAGGGAGTGCAGTCCTGAGCTGTGGAGAGCGGGTAGCAGACCTCTTTCACAAGGCCTCCGAGGAGCGCTTGAGGACTGTGGGTTGCCAGCTGTGTTTACCCATTACCTAAGGAACTTTCATCATTTACCAACTGCACAGGTTTAGATAGGCTTCTTAGCCAAATTATGCATGAAATCATCGAAGTTGTGATTTTATGTGAAAAGTATCAAAGAACTACTTTTGGACACGCAAGTCCAGCGGAGTTATTTCCTTTTTTCTAAAGTCCCCTGGAATTCAGCTGGTGAGCACAACCCCTGGAATGCTGCCCACCCTGCCTCCCATCCTCCTTTTTATATGCATTTCCAAAGAATTCTTCTCTTCCTTCCAAGTTGGGCTTACCTGCCAGCTCTCCGGATTGCTTAAGCAGGAAGCAGACACACACTTGCTCTGGACTGCCGAATGCCTTGCTCACCCTCCTCTGGAGGTGCTTAGTTTATTCTGCTTTGGGTCGACTTAGTTTTGTACCTCTTTCTCCCCATCCTCGCTCCCTCAGCCACTTTTTGAGACTGTGTCTTTGTCATCTTTATAACCCTCAGAGCAGTGGTTGGCAAACTGCGGCTCACGAGCCACATGTGGCTCTTTGGTCCCTTGAGTTTTTAGCAAAGGACAGCTTAGGAGTACCCTAATTAAGTTAATAACAATGTACCTACCTTTATAGTTTAAGTTAAAAAAATTGGCTCTCAAAAGAAATTTCAATCGTTGTACTGTTGATATTTGGCTCTGTTGACTAATGATTTTGCTGACCACTGCCTCAGAGCAACTAGCAGCACCTCAAACAGGGCTCAAACCCACAACTAGATGCCTGAATCAACTCTCCACTGTCAACCTGAGTGACAGGGATACCAGGCAGCCCTCAGAATCGGGGCACATACCTGAATGAAGGCGATGGGCCTTGTCTCTAGTAAAATAAAAGACACCTGTGTGCACAGAAATCTTGTATGTATTTTTAATGAGTTTATGGATCCAGTAAGGAATCCCTCGGTTTAGACAATCCTTTGCCTGTCTGATCCAACCTCTGCTAACCAGGCAGCTCAGCACACTTGTTTAGGAGGCTCTTGGTGATTGAGAAACCTAGGCTGTTTCTCAATGTCAAACAAACTTCTCTATAGGGTGTTGAGCACCCCCTGCTTGGGACTAACTCCAGAAGGGAATTGAAATTCAGAAACTCATCATCTATGGGGAAGTGGCTTTGTTTTTATCAGCTCGACCTTATTTCAGAAGGTCATGGGATTTAGTGCTGGAAGTTTCTCAGAGTCCTGCCTGGACGAAGGTTTTGGAGAGCTTTCCTGTGGGTTTCAAGGTAGAGCCCTTTGGGGCTGAAACACAGCTGGCAACTCACAGTTCTAGGTCAGCGTTCTCCTTTTACTAGGTGAGACAGCCAAGTTCAAAGAAGGAAAGAGATTTGTTTCAGGTCAAATGATAGCATGCCAGTCAGTCTGAGAAAATGTTCTTTAAAACTAGAGAACATGGCCTTGTGTAATAAGTCTTGAGCAAGTTAATCTCCTGACAGAATATTTATTTTATTTGGCTAAAAAAAAAAAAAAAAAAAAAAAAAAGGAAAGACAATTAGGCTTTGACTAAAGCATGTAAACAGCAACAAGGCATTCTTACTCCTTGCCTAATTGGGAAACAAATTGCCCGATAGGGCAATCATCACATGGAGCACCAACATTATCTGAGAAGCTGTGTATCTGATGGTGCTCTTGATACGAACAGCTGCCTGCAGTGGGCACAGACGGGCACTGTGAACTCTGCCTTGGAAAAGACTCAGGGGCTGCCCTGGACATGCTCCCCTTTAGATGCATCCATTTTGAACACGCCTATGGGGATGGGCTGTATGAGAAGAGCTGAGAGCGTGTATCAAAAATACATATTTGCAGGCTTCCCTACATCAGAACCAGGGCCAGAAATGTGTATCTTCTAAGTCCCCCAGTGATTTAGATATGCAGGGGAAATAGTGGTTGGCTTGCTTTGAAATGTCAGGAATACGGATAAGCATACCTCCTCTCCCCACCATTTTTTCTAAGGAATCTTTAGAGTGTAAGTTAAAAGCAAGGGCTTTGGAAGGAGGCTGACTCCGATTTCCATTCTGGCTCTCTACTAGGTGAGTCTTCTAGGGTAGGTTTCTTAATTTCTGATTCCAAGAATCAGTTACCTTATCTTTAACATGGGCTGAATCTTATTAGCTCCTTTATAACAGTTTAATTCATGTGAAATAAAGTGCCGTGTATATAGTCAGTAGCTGTTAATCAACAAGGTACCAGAATGCTAAGATTTATCTCAAGTGGTGCAGCAGGTTCAAGGAAGTCTCTTAGGCCCCGAGCTTTTGGTGAGCTAAAGCCAGAAGGGATGGCTGAACCAGTCCTTGGACTTGGGTTTGTGCAAGCCGAGGACTACTTTGCTGGGTGTCGCGCTTCCTTGACTTGTTTTAGTTCCAGGGATGACTGCAGAAAGGTCTAAAAGTGAGGGTGCTTCTGATTTTGCATTGCTCACTGAGGAATGGTGGGAAGGGTTATGTACCGTAAGCTAGGTCCTAGGTGCCATTTTGTCTAGAACCTATCTTTGCCGAGGAGAGGAGCCCATATGCCACTCCCAGCCTATCTTCTAAGCGCTCCTGGAAGGTTGTGGTCATACAAGCTCCTGCCAGACTAATGAGCCAGGCCTCTCTCCTTTAGGCCCAGGAGGCATCCTGCCGCCTCTGAGCCCGAGCTCGGGATTGCTGACTGTGCACCTATGCACAGATTACTCAGTCACACGGTGCCTCAGAGTCCTTATCAGAGAAATGGGGATAAAAATAGTCCCCAACTATATTAGTTCCCTATTGCTGCTGCAGCTAATTCCACAAACTTAGTGCCTTAAAACATCGCAAATTTATGATTCTGTAGTCCTGGAGGTCAGAAGGCCTAAGATCAAGGTGTTGGCAGGACTGTGTTCCTTCTGGAGGCTCCAGGGGAGAATCTGTTTTCTTGCCTTTTTCAGCAACTAGAAGCTGCCTGCATTCCTTGGCTTCTGGCCACATCCTCCATCTTCAAAGCCAGCAGTGCTGCTGCTTCTTCCCTCTTCCCCCTTCCTCCTTCTCCCTTCCCCTTTCCCTCCATTCCCTCTACCCTCCTCCTCCTCCTCTTCCTCCTTCTCCTCCTCCTTCTTCTCCCCCCCTCTTTTTCTTCCCCCCTCCCTCCCTTCCTCCCTCTTGCCTGTGACTTCTGTTCTAATATTATTTTATTGAACTTATACATTCATTATGAGCCATTATTTATTGAGCTTTCCTGTGTATCAGCCACTGTACCATTCCCACTTTAGAAAAGGACCTTGAGTAAATGCTACATGGGCTTCATAGTTAGTAAGAACCAAGGTCTGTTTCATGCCAATGCCTTGTTCTTTGTGATTTCCTCCTTGTTCTTCTTTTAGTTCGTCCTTGCCCCTCAGCTGATTTCTCACACCGTTTTAGAGCCTGACCAGAGGAGCCTGACCAGATACTGCCCTGGCAGAGAAGGCCGGTGGCTTGGGAGGCAGGAGGAACTTCCCCATTCACAGGGTCATCTTCCTCTCGGGAGACTCTGAGCTCAGCAGATTGGTTTTTGGAGCCTGGGTAATCCCCTCCTCACTTCCATCCACGTTTGGGTCTAATCTTGGCAGGCAGCACTGTGATGGGTCATCTTTGGGCTGCTTCCCTTTGCTGACTCTGTGCTATTTAGGTGACCATGATAATGTCACCTGCCCTCTCTGGTCCAAGGTGCTTTTAAGTCTATCCTTCAGTCCCCAGCCCTCCCAGAGCTGGTTTGGGACAGACAAACTAATTGTAGGGCACAGCTAGGGGAGGCAGCCCTGTTATGATCATATTAGTTTGTTGCTCAGACACCCCAGGCCTCAGGTGCCGGAGTGCATGGACCAGGTTGGTCCTTGGAAGGATCATCTGAGTGGGAAAGGTTGTCATGCTCCTGTCTCCCATTTTCTACCTCCTGCACCCACCAGAGATTGCTTTCTTCCAAGCATTTGGTCCAGTTCCCTGCAAAATAGCTTCCCCTCTTTGGGCCGTCATCCTCTGAAGGCTTTCTTTGTGGTCTAGAATGACTTCTCTCTGGCTAACCTCCTTTCCCATAGCGAAGGAATGACAGTGATGGACCCTGCTATCAGACATACCTGGTTCATATCCCAACTCGCCCACTTACTGGGACTCACTCTCAATCAACGGTGGTCAAGTTACTTGACTTCTCTTAGCCACAGTTTCCTATCTGCTAAATGGGAATAGAACCAGCGTCACGGAATGGTCACTACAGTACCTTACAGCTTATAAGCAAGCAATAGTAGCTAGCCATTATTTCAATGAGCTTTTCTCGGCAAGGTGAAAAGAAATTCAACTAACAGAAAGAAAATTTTGTCAGTTCACTTCCCATCTGAGCATTCAGTGAATCAGTCTTCTCATTATTCGTTGATATTTTACATTCCTCATTTGCACACATCATTGCTGCATAGCTGTAGTACAGAGTAGACTGTAATTTTGTACTTTACTCTTCTTCCCCCCACCCCTCCCGCTTCAAGCCTATGTTATAAGCTTTCCTGTGCCACCACAGTCCTTGTCGTTGGTAGCTTAATTATTGCACCAGTTAGGCTGAAATTAATTACTTGTCCACTCGACCATTAGTTTATTTCAAGTGTTTCACTATTACAAAGAATGTGCAGAAGGCACAGGGAGTTCTTATTCATTTTGACCTATGTGTTAAAGCCACTGCACCAGACACTTAATTATCTAACTTAATTCCTCTTAATAGCTTTTTAAGGAACTAAGACTCAGACTGCTTAAGCAATAATAATTAGAATGAATGTTTATTCAACTCTTCCTGTGTGTTAGGCTCATGTGTGTGCACATAAGTCCTTTGGTTGATCTCTCCCTTTTATCCTCACCCTCCCTTTGAGGTCCAACAGTCTGACCCATGGCTCCTTATCTCTGGATCTGTTCTTGTTCATCAGTCTATGTTGTTCACCATTTCCCCTAGATGAGTGAGATCATGTCCTACTGGAAATAAACTTATAAGAATAAAAAATGAGACAAGCAATAATCGTTATCCTCAAAGGCGTATGAATCAGTCTGTAGTGAGCTTCTTTCTGGGCCACCAGTTCTTTTGAGACCCAATGTCAATGTCAAACAGTTCCTTATGTGTACATGTCAGCAATGATATTTCAGTTCTGGGTGGTGGGCAAATGGTGGTAATGCATGTCCAACCCTCTCTGGCTTGGTCTTGTGCAACCTGCAGTGATACACAGCTGACTGCTACATTAAAAACTTTAAAAAATATATTTTTATTGATTTTTTTACTGAGAGGAAGAGAGAGGGCTAGAGAGTTAGAAACATTGATGAGAGAGAAATATCTATCAGCTGCCTCTTGCACACTCCCTACTGGAGATGTGCCCACAAGCAGGATACATGCCCTTGACCCAAATCGAACCTGGTACCTTTCAGTCCGCAGGCTGATGCTCTATCCATTGAGCCAAACTGGTCTTGGCCATTAAAAACTTTCTGATGATTAAGTCAATGTGTCTGGTTACTAGATATGCAAAAGTAGTCCCGAGTCACTGTTACCTTGCCAATGCTATTAAAAATATTGTTACTAATGTTATAGAGGAGAGCATTGCTACCTTGATATTTTAATTGTTTCTGTTTCATTATTTGCTTTAAGATTCACGCTTGTTTAGAAGCTAGTGCTGCTATAATAGCTCCTAAACACCAATGTCTTTCAGGTCCCAGACCGGTGGTGTTCCTGCAGCACGGCTTGCTGGCCGACTCGAGTAACTGGGTCACAAACCTGCCCAACGGCAGCCTGGGCTTCATTCTGGCCGACGCTGGCTTTGACGTGTGGATGGGGAACAGCAGGGGAAACACCTGGTCCCGGAAACACAGGACCCTCTCAGTTTTTCAGGATGAATACTGGGCCTTCAGGTATAGTTGGCTTGATTTTGATAGGCTTCTAGTTCCTTAGTATCCTTAACGCAGATACCAGGGTGGCAGATAGGTAGGTAACTTGAGGTCGTATGAGAGAAGAAACTGGTGGACCGTGAAATATTTTAAACCTTTCTAGGAATTTAATAAATAGCAGTAAGGTAAATTTTAAATTAGTGGTTACCTTTAAGAATTAGGTTCAAGTAGGAATATTTAGTTATATGGACATTCCTGGTGGTGTGGCAGCTGCTGGGTGAATTGTGCCTCGGAACCTTCTTCCTCCCTCCAAAAACACAAACTCCAAATGTTCACGACTCTACAGCCACACATTTTCCTCTTCTCGCTTTTACTTCTGGCTCTACCAGCTAATCGCTGTGTGACACTGGACCTGTGTACTAGCACAAGCTCTCTGTGTCTCCGGTTTCTTCATGTAAAATGGGGATAATAAATACCTATCTTATAAGGTTATTGAGAGTTAAAGGCGAGGATACAGGGAAAGAACCTGGTACATCTTAAGCAGTGGCAACAATGGGCTCATCTTTCTCCTGATGTTGAACGCTCACATGTTCACAGGTCCAGGCTCTGTGTTGATACCAGGCACAGAGAAGAGCAGGCTACGGATCCTTCAGACCTGCTTCCCATTTGTAAAACCGGAGCCAACCTGAGGACGTGAAATGCAAGAAGGAGAGCTTTTACCAAGGACATGTACTGTGACATGTCTCTTTATGTGTAATAGTGGAAAATTGGAACCTACCAAATGACCATTCACAATGAAGGGGCAAATTCAGTGTGGTCTATTTACCCAATAAACAACCTACAGCTATGTGCAACAGTTTGGATGGAGCCTAATACAGAATAATGCATACTGTGGTCCCATTTATAGAAAAGTTCAAAAATGAGGAAAGATAATTTATGGTGTAAAAAATGAGGATAATGGTTGGCACGATTGGAAAAGGGCTCAGGAGATCTCTGTAGTTCTGGTAGTTCTGTTTTCTGTGCTTGGGCATGGTTTCCCAGCTGTGTTCAGTTTGTGATAAGTGGTCAAACTGCACAATTACTATTTGTGTGTGTGGCATTTGTATGTAATGTCTCAATGAAAGAGTTCCATTTTTGGATTACAGCTACGATGAGATGGCAAATTATGACTTACCAGCTTCAATTAACTTCATTCTGAATAAAACTGGCCAAGAACAATTGTATTATGTGGGTCATTCTCAAGGCACTACGATAGGTATGTATGTAATAAAGATTGGAAATTGATATAATGTATTATTACAGAATTTGCATTTGTTCTGAAAAATGAAATATAAAAAATGTTGGCTTAAGTAGACTTTCATTTATCATTATCAACATCATCATTATTATCACCAAGCAGAAATAATGAATAGGGCAGAGAATTTTGCTAATATTTTATCTTCTCTGGAAATTCACACTTTAATATAAATGCATAAACCATGCTGTTCATGGTTCTCTTGAATTTAAAGGTATTAAGCCACAGCCTATTACATATTTTTCTAGTTAAGCAACATGGGAATGTGAGAGGGTAGAAAACAAGTTTCATAAGTGCAGAGGCTTTTAAAAGGAAAACACAAAAGTACACTGACTTAAAGTTAAGTGGAATGAAGCTAACTACAAAGATGTAATCTTGTTACTAGATATGCAAAAATAGTCCCATTTCATTGTTACCTTGCCAATGCTGTTATGCTTTTATTCAGAAATAGTTTTTAAAAGTCATATGCATTTTTACTTGTGATTATAAAAGTAATACCTGTTCATTGTAAACAAAAATAGAAAATGAGCAAAGTTTAAAGAAAATGAAAATTGTCCATAATTCAAGCAAACAAGAGTTCCTATGATTAGGGACTAGGAACCCGTGACATAATTTGAATAATTCCCTCTTTTAGTGTCTACTGTGACCAATATCTTTATGTTCATATCACATGGTCTCATTAGAATACACACTCAAAAAGTAACGTAGATATCTTTTTGCCTTTCTCATTCATTAAGTTAAGCATTTTTCTTCATTCATATTTCTTTTTAAAAAAAATATATTTTATTGATTTTTTACATAGAGGAAGAGAGAGGGATAGTTAGAAACATCGATCAGCTGCCTCTTGCACACTCCCTACTGGGGATGTGCCCGCAACCAAGGTACATGCCCTTGACTGGAATCGAACCTGGGACCTTTCAGTCCGCAGGCCGACTCTCTATCCACTGAGCCAAACCGGTTTCGGCTCTTTATTCATATTTCTTGACTTGTCTACTGAATGTCCTTTGCCCCACTGCTCTCTAGCATTCTAAAGCCAAGTTTAAGGCTAGCAGTGACTTGAAATGACCCTAAGAGGTATTATGTCCCTAAGGCATGCCACAGGTGCCAGTCATTTCTGAGTCATTGCTAATTTATTGGCATGGCTCTGTAAATTGTTCTTAGGAATATGGGTGTGTTGGGGCCCTCCCAAACTGTTAGGACTACAGTCTTTCAGGAGTTTCGTTTACATTATTATTATTATTATTATTATTATTAATTTTTTAAAAGATATATATTTTATTGATATTTTACAGAGAGAAAGGGAGAGGAAGAGTTAGAAACATCGATGAGAGAGAAACATCAGTCAGCTGCCTCCTGCACACTCCCTACTGGGGATGTGCCCGCAACCAAGGTACATGCCCTTGACTGGAATCAAACCCGGGACCCTTCAGTCTGCAGGTCGATGCTCTATCCACTGAGCCAAACTAGTTAGGGCTCAGTTTATATGATTAAAGGAACAGGAAACATCTTCTGGTTTTAGCAACAAGGATTTCTTCCATGCTGAGACTGGTTTGGCTCAATGGATAGAGCATCGGCTTGGGGACTGAAAGGTCCCGGGTTCGATTCCGGTCAAGGGCATGTACCTTGGTTGCAGGTATATCCCCAGTACGGGGTGTGCAAGAGGCAGCTGGTCGATGACTCTCTCTCCCATCGATGTTTCTAGCTCTTTTATCTCTCTCCCTTCCTCTCTGTACAAAATCAATAAAAAATATTAAAAAAAAAAAGATTTCTCCCAGTGCATAACTAGGTTGAAAAATTGAAACAAGCACTTAAATACTTGATTGACTAGTCAAACTCGGTGTTTCTGCATAGTTCAGAGGACCCAAGTGTTTGCCTGCATGTCTCTCAGGTTGCCACTAGAGGGCGTCACACACAACTGCCCTTGCTTTTTCAGAGAAAATACCAGAGGATCCAATTCCTGTTACCTTCCTTTTGTTCCCACAGGCTTTATAGCATTTTCACGGATCCCGGAGCTGGCCAAAAAGATTAAGATGTTTTTTGCCCTGGGTCCTGTGGCTTCAGTCGAGTTCTCTAGTAGCCCTATGGCTAAATTAGGACGGTTTCCAGATCTTCTCATTAAGGTATTTAATCCACCCCTCCCCCAATTTCCTTTCCAGATCTGAAGAATTGGCCATTAGAGGGAGAATTTGTGCTTTTCTCTATTATGGTTTGCTCTCAATGAAAAGTGGGATTTCTCTCTCCCACGTTTTTCTTCTCTTCCCCCTTCCCCCTACTTCCAGATCCTGGGGAGACAGGGAAAGTGTATCATTAATTCTGCACCCGAGGCCCATGTTCATAATTAATATATTAGTGCAGATCTCCACCGATCAAGCAAAGAGAGCACAAGAGAGTCTGGGAGCTTAATCCTCTTGGATTTGCCTTTCATTCTACACAGTGAGTGGTGCAGAGGAGTAGGCAGGAGGCAGGAGAAGGAAATGCACCCTTCCCACATACACGCCTGACCCTGACCACAACGAGGGTGATCTAAACACAAGACAGTAACCTCGTGGGGGGCTTAGCCCTTGAGCTGTGTGACCCCAAGCTCTAGTCAAGGAGGAAGCAGTTTTTTCTGAGAAGTTGAGAGACAGCTGAGGCCAGATGGTCCATTATGCATGCATTATATATTTTTATCTATGACACGTTTAAAACACACCGACATGAAATCCCGTTCAGGCATATATACTACAAATCAGGAATAGCACATCTACTGGCCATTTAAGAGACTTTCATAAGAAATACAGTCTGTACTCTCAGCTTAGCATCTCACTCTCACACAAGATGTGTTTCTCTGCATAGGGGACCAGATATGCAGATAAGATGTGACTTCCTCAGCCCAAATTAGTTTATAGTGCCTTGGGTAATACTGTTAACAGTTTCATTCTAAATAATTGGAGGATTACAGGTAAAGTGTCCTTTACTGTAGCTTCTCTTGGCGCCTTCTTCATAATTAAGCACAGTGCTCAGTCCTTGTGTGTGAATTTCCAGAGAGACACATATTGTTTTGTTTTGATGTAGACAGTATTCAACTGTGTATATTGTTCTGCAGATTACACTTTTCACTCTTGAGGAGCTGTTATGTATACATAAAACTCTATCACGTGCTTTTTACTGCTGCATAGTAAGTTTTCCATTTATAAAGAACTGCTACCGTATGAAGCCAGATGCCTGTGGTGGGTATTTAGGTTGCTGCTGATTTGCTGTTGCTGCGTCCTTGTAGCTTTTTTTAAATGGAGAACTGAATCTGCTGTATCACAGGAATGTATTCAATTTAGCTTAGTTCTTGGAGATGGTGATTTAGTAGCTTTGTAAGCATACACACTCCCCTCCCCACCTTGGAGATGGTGGTTTGTTAAATCTGCAGTGCGGTCCAGGATCTGTACCCTCCATGTTTCTAATGCAGGCCAAACAGACTGGTATTTAGGAGTTACTGATCCAGACACCAGTGTGTTATAATATCCTGGGAGAGTGACAAAGTGAGAGAGTAAAACCTTTGAATTTGCTGTTCTGGGAAGAACATGTTACTTCCATGAAAGCTGAGTGTCATAACTCTTTCTCAGAATACAAAGGCATGTATTAGAAGACATCAGGGTGGACTGGAGCAGGCCAGTCTGTGACACGTGACTTTTCCTTTTTCGGCCATGCTGTCCTGCTTTGCAGTGATTTTCAGTGGAGTTTGCCACCGCAGTGTTTGGGTAAACAGTTCAGAAGAGCAATACAACTTCACCTCCTTTGGCAATCAAAAGGAGAGCTTGGCTTGTTGATTTGAGTCACTGATCCTATTAACTTGTTAGTAGAGAACCTAACATGCATTTATTACATGTGACTATTAGGTAGACTCAGAGTCATGAGTTTTAGAAATTGATGTCTTTTCATGACCCTTGACCTCATCTGCATGTGGTATTTACTTCCTGGTTCTCCCCAGCTAATAGTAGCATGACTAATCTGGAGGAAAGGGAGTTCAAGGAGTCCTGGTATGGGCCTTCAGATATCCACTGGTTGCCTCGGAGAAGACAGATTGAAGGCTGTAGCAGACCAAAGTTGCTCTCTCCCTTCTCGTCCCCTCTCCCTCTCTTCCTTCTACTCTCTAAAAATCAATGGAAGTTGGTCCAAAGGTTGTGGGTTATTGTTAAGCTGATTAAAAATCAATGGAAAAATGTCCTCAGGTGAGGATTAAAAAAAGGAAAAAAGAATTTTAAAAAGTATAAAAAAAAACAATAGGCAGTGGGCAGCCACTGGCCAGTAGAATCAGATTAGATGTATGTACCCATTGCTGGTCAATCACAGTTTTGGCTCTTTTTCAGAAGTCAATACCAATCCATCAAAGTCAAGTGAAACTTGAGGTGGCCCTGGGATGAGTGATCACTGAGGTCCTTTCCCACTGTAAAAGTCCGCTTGCAAATTTACTGAATTTTCTGCCTCCCTTTCTCCATTTGAAACTTTAAATGCACATCTGTAACATCTGCTTTTGCCTTAGTAAACAGATTGCCAAGGTACCCTAGTTTGGACATCCACTAGTTACCATTTCTCTTCTTGTTGAAAATTTATCTTTATTGTTTCCTCTCATTGACACCCCCCTCGCATTGCCTCCCTACTTCCCCCTCTTCCCCCCACACCGCACAGGCCTTCACACACTATTGTCTGCGTCCATGGGTTATGCAGATATGCACATAAATTCTTTGGTTAATCTCTTCTCCACCCCTTCCTCCTTTCTTTCTGAGATTCATCAGTCTGTTTCATTCCTCTATGTCCCTGGTTCTATTTTGTTCATTAGTTTATTTTGTTCATTAGATTTCACTGGTTACCACTTCTCTCCTATCTCTGCTTGAGGTGGTCACAGAGGAATGAAATGTTGAGGTGTTCTTGGGTTTCTTTTTCTTTGCAGGATTTATTTGGGGAGAGAGAATTTCTCCCCCAGAATGCATTTTTGAAGTGGATGAGTCTGCATGTCTGCAGTCATGTCATTCTGGAGGAGCTCTGTGGAAATGCCTTTTTCCTTCTGTGTGGATTTAATGAGAGAAATTTAAATATGGTATGTATGTTTATAATGAGACTGTAACTTTCAACGATTTTATTTTATCTGTGAATATGCTTATTTGTGTTGGTGCATGCTGGAGAGGTAAAATGACATTTACATTAATTCTAGTGATTTAAAAAAATTATATAATTGTTTAAGTTTGGAATAATCGTTCACACACACTTATTTATTTATTTTAGAAAATAAATAAAATTTTTTTTGGCCAGCAATCTGCTGGTGTTTCTAAATACATTTGTAGTTTGTAATGTTGCCTTTTGAAAAACAGGTTTTAATATTCTGAAATGAAGTTTCCAGGGGATTTTTTTAAAGTGATAGTAAATGTTCTTGTTTCTGATGATAAATGTAAGGTATAATTGTTATATAAAATTTTGGAAATTCAGAAAAGCACGAAGAAGAAAATAAAAATGAGCATTATCTCAACCCATGCAGCCCAACGGTTATCCTGATGACATATACTCTGTGTGTGTGTGTGTGTGTGTGTGTGTGTGTGTGTGTGTGTGTTTGTACATATTTTTTTATGACATATTTGTAGTCAAAGAATATTTTCCTGCTCTTAATATCGTATCATTGAGATTGTGGCTCTGTGGTTTTTAATGCTTTGAAGTGCAAAATTTGTGTATTATCAATGCCTCCTAAACACTGTTTTTTTGTTTTTTTTTTTTAATGCTTTATTTCAACATTCCTTTTGCAGTCTAGAATATCTGTGTATGTGACACATTCTCCCGCTGGGACTTCCGTGCAAAACATGATCCACTGGAGCCAGGTAGGCGGGCATTCCAGAGTGGGATTTGTGTCAAATCAGCATCAGGAAGATCCGTGCATCCCATGACGTACCTCTCTGCCAGCCCTTCCTGCTTCTCTCTTCAGCCACGTTTCTGTTGATGGTCACTTGTTTTTTTTATGTACCGTCACCAAATGCCCCTGCCTTTTGGAACATGTCCTACCCTCTTACCTAATGGACAATTTCTGAAAAGGCCCAGTTCTTGTCACCTCTGCGGTTAGTGCACTTTTGTGGGGAGGATGGCCCGCCAAGTTGAAGGCAGCTGCTGGACTACCCAGCTTAGTGACCATTGCAGGCCATGTGTGCTGTGTCATGCACCTCAGCCAAGTACAGCTGACCCCCAGGCCTCACGGCTGTCAGGGGCCTGCTGTATGTTACAGGACAGGGTTGCTCCACCCCTCTGGTCTGCAGAAGAGCTCTTAGAGCGGCTGCAGTCCAGGCTTCTGTTCTTGCCCCAGCCCCTTTAATCTAGCAGCTGGCCGGGGTCGAAGGCCGCAGACTGAAGCTCGGAGCCCGGCTCTGGGGCCCCATTGTGGTTTTAGGTCCTAACCACATTGGAATGTGTCTCGTGAACATTTCTGAAGTCCAGATGCACTGCGGAAGGCAGTCCTGCCCTTTGCTCTTCTGCTTGCTGAGTCATCTTTGTCAAGAAGAATTGCTTTGTGCAGCTGTTTCGTAGGACCTTCTCCTTGATTCTCCCTCTTTGGGCTGTTGGCCAGGGGCTGCCACTCCCTGCCTGCCAGGCTGCCTGCTGGCAAAGGCTCCTGCTGAAGGTGTGGGGTCTGGGCACTGGCAGGCTAAGGGCTATGATTCAAGTGTGAAGGTTGGGGGTCCCTCTGGTGGGAGTTTGAGAGTGTCCTACAAGGTCATTTTATCCATAGTACATTCAGAAGTTTACTTCTTGTTTAAATAACTAGCATTCCATTTTATAAAAAAAATTCCAAAACATTGTTGTTTGTTTGTTTGTTTTGGCGTGGAACTCTATTTTTTTATGTTTCCTACATATTTTTAAAAATATGTCTTTTAAATTAAAAGAATGTTTCAGTCACAGTTTATATTCAACTAGAGGCCCGTTTCAGGAAGATTCCTGCAAGAATAGGGCTTCCTGTGGAGGTCTTTGCTGCCTCGCCTGCTTTCCTCCCTTCTCCACTATCCCACTTGCTTGCTTGCTTGCTTGCTTCTCTGCAGTTTCGCTCCCTTCTGCAGCTGTCTTCCATCTATGCTGTCTTCAGTCTTTGCTCTGTGCCTGAATATGCAAGTTAACTGCCATATTGATAGGGTTAGTTTGCATACATGCTCCTGATTGGCTAGTGGGTGTGGCTTGTGGGTATAGCAGAGGTATGGTCAATTTGCATGTTTCTCTTTTATTAGATAGGATTTTGTACTAGTTTCAGGTGTACAGCATAGTAGTTTGACAATCTAAAACCTATTTCTTTACTGGGCTTTTAAATTTAGTTTATAGATATTATTCTCTTTATAAATCCGACAAGTTTTGGAGACCTCTTGTTCCCCTGCCCCTCGCCAAGCCTCCTTTAACTCTCTCACTGACCATGCCTAGAGCCCAGGAACTTGGTCCGATTTGAAGACGGCAGGTTCTAACCTATCTTTGCAGTGTTGTCCAGAAATACTTAGGGTGCTATAAAAAATTCAGGTTCTCGGGCCTACCCATGACCTGTTGAGAATTCAAATTCCTGGAGGTATGTCCCTGGGATCTGCATTTTAGGAAGATTCTCATGTGATTCTGATGTTTGAAACCTAGTGCTTAAAAAATAATGTACATTAGATAGGGTCTTTAAAAAATTATAAAAAGACATTTAGTATAATTTAAATTATACAAGTAGTATGTATTCATTATGAAGTTTAAAAATACATGTGAATACAAAAAAGAAAATAAATTACCCACATTTCTCCTACCCGGGATAACTACTAGTAGTATGTTGGTATATTAGGGGAAGTTAACATTTTCCTTAACCCTCTTAGGGTTTCTGACTGGGACTGACATAAGACATTAACAGGAGAAAAGAATACAAATTTTACTTACATGTACATGGGAGCCCTCACAAGAAAAATGAAGATCCACAGAAGTGACTAGGCCTATGTGCTTATATACTAGGTTGAACAAAGTAGCAACTATGAAAAAGTAAAATAAATACAGGACACTAAAGGAAATAAGAGTTTTATTTATTTATTTTTTTTAAAGAGAAGGAGAGGGAGCCTTAACTGGTTTTGCTCAGTGGCTAGACTGAGGTCCCAGGTTCAATTCTGGTCAAGGGCATGTATTAATACGTTGGCTGCAGGCACATCTCCAGTAGGAGGTGTGCAGGAGGCAGCTGATTGATGTTTCTCTCTCATCGATGTTTCTCTCTCCCCCTCTCCCTTCCTCTCTGTAAAAAAAACAAACAACCAATAAAATATATTTAAAAAAAGAAAAGGAAGGGAGAGGGAGACAGAGATACAAGCACTGATGAGGGGAAACATTGATTGGCTGCCTCTTGCATGTCCCCTACTGGGATCAAGCCTACAGTGGGGACTGAACCTGTGACCTCTTGGTGCACGAGATGATGCTCAACCAGCTGAGCCACACCAGCAGGGCTTAGCCAGGTCTTCTTGTACAGATTTCTATCTCTGATAATAAAAACAGTTCTTCCTTCTGGTACAGGGATGGCTTCTTTCACGTGGGAATTTTATATCTTGCTTCAAAGGAAGGTCAGAGTACCTTCCTTGCATCCGCTGTTTCTCACATTCCTTTAAATCAATCATTAAAATGGCCAAAGCAACATATTTTGTGGTGGCAGGTCCTGAACTCTTTCAGTGCCATCTTCTAATATTTCCCCCCCCCTGTATAATTGTTTTCATTACAAAAGTAGGATTACCCTCCACATGCGTTAAACAGTTTTAATTAGATAGCTTCGTATTTGCTAAGTTGCTGAATCAGAGAGGCCATCATACAGCCTTAAAACAGTTTTTGTTTCTCGTGATACAGTGCAGACAGCAGTGCCACGGGATGGTGCTGGAGGGGGAGTGACAGTGCTCCTGGAAGTCATTCAGGGCCCCAACTCCTGCTGTACTTCAGCTCTGCCACTGCTGGCATGCCACCCCTCTCCCCGATGGAAGCCGGGTTGCCTCCATGTGTGTTCCAGCCCCCAGGAAGGAAGCATTTAAGGGATGTGGTTCCTCCCCTGGTGGCCATGTGCTCAGCAAAAGCTTTAGGGATTACGGAAGCAAGCAAGAATGGGAAATTAGCTGTCTCTGCTGTAATCAAAAATACCTTTCCAGGTCAATAACTAACATTTAAAATATTTGTAACATCAATTTTCCTTTGCTTAAATTATTAGTATTAATATTTTTATTATTTTGTTATTTCTGCTACTATAGCTTATTTTTTGTTGTTTTTGTTTTAGTAAACCATTCTGGGACAAATATTCTTGAATTAAAGATCTTTCATTACTTTCTTAGGGTGCAGTTGTGGAAGTATCGATAGACTTAGTGGTCAGAGGAAGGCATATCTTTAAGATTTCTGATACAGATTGAACTTTAGAAAGGTTGAACCTATTGACCATACAAGACATAAAAATAATTTTTAAATGTCACTTTAAAATCCATCTATCCTAATATCCTAATGGTATAAGTATTTCCTCCTAATCTTTGGTCACATATGATTATCATATAAGTGTAACCATAGAGCTTGCTCACTTTCATTTTCTGACTTTTCCCCTCACTTAATATTATTTATAAATATTATTCATTTTTCTCTTTCTAGTTTATTATCTTTATATTTACTGTTGTGTCTATTGATGTAACATGATGTATTTAACCAAATAGTTATGATTGGACTTTAGCTCATTTCCATGTTTTTGCTACTACAAATAATCATCTTCACATTTCTCTCCTTCTGAGATTTCCTATGATACTAAACACAAAAGTCAAGTTTAGAAGTTCAGTCTGAGCCCTAGGAAAGTTTTGCCTGTGTGTTCCATACTCACTAGGGTGCTTTCTGTAAATGCTGAAAGACATTTGTGAGGAAGCAATAGACTGATGAGCAGCTTGCGCTGATATTTTTTCACTGACAGCCAGATGCCCTAGCAGGTGCTATAAATTCATACTTTCTTCTGCTTGTTAAATGTGCCATACGTATTTAAACTCTGTCCTTTGCAATGGGAAAAAGCAGATGCTAGGATTTCTCCTGTAGAAATGCCCTGTGGCTTCCAATCTCACGCCGTCTTTTATTATATCAGACAGTAGAATTTTAGGCAATGGACAAGACCTGGAACCTTACATGAATCAACAGCAGTTCCGGCAGAGGATGTTTTTTCTCTTTACCAGATGCCACCCTCTGGCCAAAACTTGAACAGTTTCCAGTTCATTTGGGTTGCTGATTTTGGGTTTAAGTCTTGACATATTTTTAATTTGGGGATACATATAGAGGAAGTGTGAATTTAAATTATTTAAAAGTTTAAAAATAAGTGCCTTTTAAAATACTTTTATATCATACTATTCTTGCATAATTTAAATTTTATATACAATATTATTTCATGACTAGTTAGAATTGTGCTCGTATGCAGTACAATTTGGTGATTTTACTGACACTGGTACTTGAGAAAAAGTGTCTTAACAATAAAATCATTAAAATATTAAGTGATATAACTAGTCAAATAGAGTAGATATATAGAAAATATGGAGGTTATATATGGAGTTTATATAGAAGAATACAGAAATATGTAATCTATATATAAATATACAGTGATTATATTTATTCACAGTTATGTGATTTATAATTAATATTTATATTCTAATCCACATACATATATATTAATCTAATTGTTGTATGTAATACACACACACACACATAGACACACACACACATATAAAACTTCCCTAAGTAAGATAGTTAAGTTTGAAAAGTTTAAGACTTATATTTTAGTTAAAAAATGTCAGCATAAAGTTTATCCAATGATTGTGGTCATTGATCTAGGGTGGGGTGAAAGTAGGTATACCATTGTTTGTATAGAAAATAATACAAAAATTAATAAAAAACATAAGAATAAGCTCTGGGTCTGCATATTCACAACTGTAAATCTACTTTTGCCCCAATCCTGTATAATTTATAGCATGTCTATAGCTGCTTTATTGTGTCCTACAATAGCTGTTTTCAATCATACGACAAGAAATTGAGTCACTTAGTAAAAGACAGCCAAGTAATGCCATTTATTTTGAATTACAGTTTGGAAATGAAGAGTAAACCTGAGTATTGGTTTAAAATTGATTTCTGAGGGTGGGCGTGGCTAACTCTAGCAACCTGTGATGTCATCTCAAACATGTGTGTCAGATAAACTTTTTGTCCACCTTATCTTCTTTCTAGACTTATAAGTTGCAAAAGTTCCAAGCCTTTGACTGGGGGAGCAGAGCCAGGAATTACGTTCATTACAACCAGGTAAAGTCTTCAGAGTCTTTAGAAACAGTGGGTCCCGCGGACTCTCCAACGAAGCCAGCCCGAGCTGTCAGGATCCTGGGCTCCGTCCGGGCTGTGGAAATGTCTGGGAGAGTTGACTAGAGAGTGTTTCAATCCCAGAACAACCCAAGCTTTGTGGTTGGCGCAGTGGCCTGGGCGTCCCCTCTCCGTTATTTCCTTGGCCCTGTGTAACAATGGTCACTCTCACTGTTGTCATATGTGACTCATTGTGTCATATGTGACTCAACGCAGACATGGAGTCAGACAAGCCTAGATCTGTGATCTGGTAGCTGGAGGGCCTTGGCCAAATGACATGCCTAAGCCTTTGCTCCCATATGCAATTAATTTACCATTGTTTTCACTTTTAAATATGTATTTTATTAGTGATAGCATTACAGATATCTCCCATTCCACACCCCATTATACTCCCTCCTCCCTGCCCTGACGCAGCCCCCCCAAGTCTTCACTACCCTATTGCCTGTGTCCATGAGCTAGCTAGCTATCTATCTATCTATCTATCTATCTATCTATCTATCTATCTATCTATATCGTATATAATAAAAGCATAATACGCAAATTGTCCCCTTGACCAGGAGTTTGTCCGGGAGTTTGACTAGGGGTCGGGGCCTGGGAAAGGAAGTACTGGCCAGCAGCTGCTAGGGACCTTACCAGTGCATGAATTTCCTGTACTGGGCCTTTAGTAAATATATAAGTTATCTCTTCTCATTCCCCCAACCCCACATCAAGGTATGTCAGTCTGTTCCAGGCCTCCCTGCTTTGGGTCTTATTTTGCCCAACTCAGCCATTTTTGAGTGCTGATTACTCTGAAATATAAGGCACTTTGCCATGTTTTACTTACTTAATTCTCACAAATCCCCTACGGTTATTGTTATTATTAAAGATGAGAACTTGAGGCTTAGAGAACTTGTGTTGCACCCCAGAGGGAAGAAAAGTATAGGAAGCTATGGACTCCAAAGCCCCTTCTCGACCGCTGGGTTCTGTTGTTTTGAATCGATGACTTGGGAGAATACCGTCCTCCCACCGGATTTCAGCACTTGGTACCGGCCCACCAGGGTCCTGTGCTAACTGTGCTCTCATTGTTAGGTTTATGTTTGTTCTGGTTGCAGTGACTTGAAAAGTAAACAGAGTGATTTTCAAAATTTAGTCTTCAATACTCAATGAATGAATCAGTGTTTAATGGAGATTGCCGCCTGTGGTTTTGTAAATTAGAGCAGCCATGACAAAACTTTCTGTGGGTTTTTCCTTTGTAGACTTACCCTCCTGCTTACCACGTGAAGGACATGCTTGTGCCCACTGCCATCTGGAGCGGCGGTCAGGACTGGCTTGCGGACGTCAAGGACGTCAGTGTCTTGCTGACCGAGATCACCAACCTGGTGTATGATGAGTGCATTCCAGACTGGGAGCACCTGGACTTCATCTGGGGCTTGGATGCCCCTTGGCGGCTGTATGAGAAAATGATAAATCTAATGAGAAAGTATCAGTGAAAGCCAGACAGGGAAATTTGCCATGAATACCAAGATCAAATCATGTTAAACATTTGTTGGCTCAATTTTTCTAAAGCACTTATCTTTCTTTCCCAGGCTTCTTATTTTTTCATATCTAAAAATTACGATGTTGAAGATGCCCAGTGTTCTTCAGTTAGGGTAGAAACGCACTTGCTTTAAAAAAAAATTGTTCAATCATGGCCAAATATGCAGCTGTGTCTTAACAATAATGTAATTTCTTTAAGTCTTCTAAACATATCACTGACTTGTGAAAGGTCATAGCCATTCTGTTTACCCATACAACTTAAAATATACTGTATTGCTTTTTTTGTTTTACTCCACCTGGGACACATTGACCTCTGTGTTGGATTTTTTAAACTGTGTTGTTCATTGGTAAATAATCTGACACTGCCTCAAAAGCTCAGGGTATAAGCACCCTGTTCTCATCTCTTGGCCTTACAGGCTCTCCAGAAGAATGGCCCTGAGCTTGGGGATCTAATGACACTCTCGTGTAGTCACTCCGTGGGTGCTGAGTCAAAGCAGCGACACCCCCGCCATGTCAGTAATAAAAATCCTGTAATGCATTTCATCAAATCTGTGATAGCCGTTACTTAGCAACTGTTTACATTGCTCAGAGGATGCAAAATAATTTCAAAAACATTCTGCTCATTAAAGCACAACAACTGAATTTCAAATACTTGAAGACGGACGCACACAACCTTCTATATCCTTGAACTCTTCATCGGAAGGCAGGTCCTACACCCACTTGTTTGAGAAGAGAAGTCCTGTGGAGAGACGATGCCACTAGTTTTCTTCAAACGAATGTACTCCCTCAGCCAGTGGCTGTCGCTCAGCAATGATGCGTGTGAAACAAGAGCCCCAAGGCCGCCCCTGAGGAGGGTCCTCATGCATCTGACGCGAGAGGAGCATGACCATGAATGTTTTCAAATCTCAGTGCAGGGAACCGCTTTGTTTTTAGTTTTGTGTGTGTCCATGTTTTTGTACTCCTGATCTGCACACCTCTGTCAGGAAGTCCAGGTTCAGCTGCTTTTCTCACCGCCTTGTTTCCTACAGTTCTGTCCGATGGGCAGAATGGTGTGGATATGTGTTTCTGAACTAGTTACTTCAGCTGCAATAATCAACAATACTTGGTGTTGGCTAATGTGTGGAGACAGCATAATACTTCCTTGTAACATATAAAAAGTCTTATTTAAACTTTGCAATAAAACTCAGTAAGTCTCAGAGGCTTGACGGATTTAGTGTGTGTGTGTGTCTTCTTTATTCAATAGCCCTTCTCTGCTTCCCCTTCTTTTTCGGTAAGACTTGTGCTTGCCCGTGAGTGCTTGATCCTCTCCAATGGGCAGCAGAGAGTGTCTCAAACACAAGGAACATCGGGATAGTTGGGAAACAGTGGTCTTCAGGGTCATCTTGCAGGGCCCACAGAGGGAGGCTGAGTGGACACTGGGTAGTGATTAGCCTCATCTGCAGGTAGTAGTCTGTTAAAGGCAGGACAATGGCGTCAAGGACTGTCCATCCAACTCCATGAACAAATGAAGCAGCCAGAGCTGGCAGAGATGAGTCATGTTTCAAGGATCATCAATCTAGCTTTTAGGGTCTAATGTGATCTCTCCAATTACTCTGAGCCGGAGGGCAGACGATATATCTTACCCCAAATCTAACACACAGCTTAGAGTATAGTGAGTCAATAAAAATGTGTGGACTGACAAAATGTGTGAAAAATAATGAACTTGGTCATTTAGCGAAATAAAATTTGGTGCGCAGGTAGCTTCTGGGACTGCACATTTGTGAAACCTGTGTTTCCATGGCAACCACAGAAAAGAGTAAAACTAGATGCAAAGGATATACATCCCCAGGAGGATGCCACTCTCCTTTGACCAAGGCCGGTCAGACACAAGATTCGTTGCTAGGGCTGGAAAGAAAGAACGGTGAGCAGGTGTTTTGTTGTTTTACACCAATAGTGGCAGAGAGCTCGTTGGAGATGGCTTCAGTGCCATAGGTGACCTGGTTTCTCTTGCTTTGGCTGCAACCATGGAGGCTCCCATAGATGCTCTTAAAACCTGTGGTCATTAAAGCATCAACACACCAGGCCATAGGAATAAGCGGGGGCTTCAGTCTACCTTTTATTGGGGTGTTTTTCTTTCACCCCCTTTCCAAATCCCTGGTTCATTTTCTTCAGTATGTGGGTCAGTCCGGACGTGGAAATGCTGCATAGCCATTCTTGCCCCAGTTTTATATCTTTGTAACGGGGCTGCAATAATGGAGCTTTGTTTCATCCGTGGCTGAGGGTGCAAAACAAGGTTGGAGCATGTGCCTCAAGAAGTTTGGTAACGAGTTTGTAGGAGTTCTGGTTACCTTACCCACCAGGGATGCCTGGCAGACCTTGAATGATGGGTGAATGATTACTCTGACACACATTTCTGTGGAAGAGAAGGCTATTTGCCTGCCTCCTTAGGCTTTTATTATCACAACAGCTTGAACTAAAATTAACCTCTAGTTACAATCACCAGGGTAAGCATCCTTGAGAAAGCACCTGCATCTATAGTGTCTTTCAGACAAGGGCATTTTTAAGTCTAAACATAAAGATTCTAGTACAACACCCAGGACTCAGACTTGTTTGTAAAAGTCAAGGCAGGGTCTGCCACCTTCAGCAAGGTCCCCCAGAGGCCTTTGGCCTCCCAGGTAATCCTCCCCACAGACTTTCCAACCAAGCCCCATGCTTCCCCACACGTATCAACTGCATTTAATATATTTCTAATGTTTTGCCTGGTGTGGCTCAGTGGTTGAGCGTCAACCTATGAACCAGGAGGTCATGGTTCGGTTCCCAGTCAGGGCACATGCTCAGTTTCAGGCTCCATCTCCAGTGTGGGATGTGTAGGAGGCAGCCAATCAATGATTCTCTCTCATCATTGATGCTTCTGTCTCTCTCTCCCTCTCCCTTCCTCTCTGAATTCAGTCAAAATATATTTTAAACATATGTATGTATTTCTATTGAGCAGATCACAAAGATGTCCACAGACCTGTGTGGCAAGAAAAAGACTAGTTAATATTTGCCCACTTGGAACTCTTCGATACTGTACTGTACTGTACTTCCATGGGCAAAACCACCAAATGAAGTCACCACTGAGAACAAAATTATTATTTTTTCATTTGCCACAAGAGGGCACTCTTGGCTGTGCTTCCAAACCTTTTCAGAAGGAGGTTTTCTCTAGTCTCTTCCTCTGGGGAGAGGCAGAGAGCTGTATTTATGAGCCAGTTAGTCATTGGAGGACTGGTAAGATCAACCATGACTGTGGTCATTTCTAGGATTATGACTAATCCTGTCTAACGCATCACATCTGAAAAATGTTCTCAAAGAATAGCGATGTCTGGAATGTGACATGAAAATAAAAATGTGCCTAATAAAGTGGCCAGAACCCTAGATATTTCCATTTTCTCCCCCCAATTCGCTTTTGTGCCACCCAGAAACTTTCTTCTTTTCCATTCCCGGGAAGGATCACCCTGCCCTGGAATTGGGGGACGAAATGGAAATGTCTTTAAGCATAGGCCTCACAGACCAACATTTAGACTGTTGATATGATCTCCAAATGAAGATTATTCTGTGCTTGTGGGTATTAAAGGCCTTACTTTGTTCATTGTAAACATTTAAAACACACTAATTTGAACTTTTGTTGTTCATTTTTTAACAGTTGGAGAGATTTTCAAAATGTGACCCCTAAAAGGCAACATCAGGTTGTAATAATTCTGATTTAAAAAATTGTTAGTAATTAATTCAAGAGTATTTATTGTATTGTTTTAGGTGCAGATGATTTCAAGTTCAATTCCACACTAAGCCCACATGTCTTAAGTGGTACAAACATAAATACTTTTGCATTTTACATTATGCCTTCGGGATTTTTAAAGCCTTCTCATAAGGCTTTGATCTTTGCAACCACCCCTTTGACAGGTGAGATATTTTCTCTGTAAATCATTCCCATGAAAAAACTGTTATTTCTTTTAATGGGAATGATTTTTTATATGCTATATAATATATATATATATATAGCTTATTTTAAATAGGCTGATGAGAGTTCCAATATCAGTAGAAGCACCCACATATATGTGACCCAGAAGAATCACAAATATGAAGAGAAAGTGTTTAAAATCAAATGTGCACTATCGGTGCCATATTCTTCATCATCATTCCCCCTGTTTTGGTGTGGATAGTTGACATTTTCCCAGTCTTTTGTAAACCATCCTATAAATGCAACTTCAATGCCCCATCCCAACACCCCATCCCAACACCACTTTTTTTTTAAAGTACAATATTTTATTGATTTTGTACAGAGAGGAAGTGAGAGAGATAGAGAGTTAGAAACATCGATGAGAGAGAGTCATCGATCAGCTGCCTCTTGCACACCCCTTACTGAGGATATGCCCGCAACTAAGGTACATGCCCTTGACCGGAATCGAACCCGGGTCCCTTCAGTCCCCAAGCCGACGCTCTTTCCATTGAGCCAAACCGGTCTCGGCCCAACACCACTTTTGATGTAGGAGCACGTGTCTCGAAGCGAAACTGACCAGGTTTCGCTCTCAAGTTGGCTGCACCTTGCTATTTAACTCTAGCTAGTCTTGACCTTTCTGAGGCTGAGTCTTCACTTTTACAACCAGGGGTTATATTACCCACTCTTTATGAGTTTCAATGTGTTACAGTTGTAAAACAATACAACACTTTTAATCTTTCCTATCCAAGAATAATTGTTTTAGTTAGATGGATATTTTTTTGTTTTGTTTTGTTTTGTTAGATATATGCTAAGACAGTTTCACTTTATTTTGGGAGGAAACAAACATGAAGGTCACACACAATGTCATAGGTAATGCAATTTGCCAACTACATGTTCTGTTTTTATGGGAGGGGGCAGTGCCCAAAGTCTGTTGGTAAGTTGGTACCAAATAGCATCTAGATTGTATTAAACACGCATAGGCTTGATTGTTGTACTCTCAGAGAAGTGATTTGATCTCTGGGATAGCTAGAGAGGAAAGAATTCCTGTACTCTAGCCCTGTCAGGAAGACCTTGCCAAGATACAAATAATACACAGGAAGTCAAAATCAAAAGGAGAAGTGCAAGAAAGAGTAGCCAAAGTCCTAATACTATTTGAAATAAATAAATGCCACATTTTAGGAAAAACCATTCCAGGGGATAAGTAGACCTAAACTACATACCAAATGCTAAAAAAAAAAAAAAAATGTTTTAGCCTCAATTTAGAGCCAATATCTTTTAAACTGTACATTGAGTCCACAAATAACTCTTCCTTGTCACTTATTATGTAATGCTTGGTGTAATGCTTGGCCCTGTGGGGCAGAAATCTCCGAGATAGAATCTGTGCCCTAAAAAGACCCATCATCTAGCAAAGCTATTAGATCAATTTTGTGTTAAGTGAAAGTGTTTCAAGAAGCATGTTTGCCAATTCAAGCAACGATACCACTGCAGTCAAGACTACACGGGGCTCCATTTTATTTGGCTCCATTAAGTGATGCTCTGTTTTTGGTTGTCCAACACCGTGTGCCTATGTTTGCAGCATCCTCTGTGGCCTGGAATGGACAACTGATGACATTTGAATGGACCTCTTGTCCTGCGATGGTTGCACTTGTGTATTGGGCACAAACTTTTGTCCTGGTGGCTGCATGGAACGCAAAGGCAGAGAAGCTGGTGGTTATTCTTCAACATGCCACAAGCAACAGGGGGAGCGCCTGGAACAACCAGAAATAAGCCAGGGCTTCTGGGTCTTGCTGCGCAGGGCTTTGTGGGAAATATTCTAACAAGCTGTGATAGAGGATGGAAAAACCAAAGAAGAAGAAGGGGTTGGTTGGAGCTACAGGCCCAAAGAGGGCAGTCCTGAGAACAATCTGATAGCTAAGATTAAATGAAACAAACCTGCCAATGCCACCCGCTTAAAAAATCTGTGAGGGCATCCACCCAAAGCATCCCAGCATGAAAAATAACTGAAACCACAGGGAATGAACTGCATGCACCGGACGTAGATTTGAAGGTTGACTTAATTTCTATTGAGGGCAAATCTGAGTGATATTTGACTTCTGAGCAGAGTGCAACTGTAAGTCTGAGAATGTGAATTTTGATGGACCCTTTGGAACTTGGAGTAAATGGTATATGCTACATTCGGTAGTGTGGTGTGATTCTCAAATAAAGCTTTTTCTTTCTATTATTTAAAAATAATAAATAAAGATCAAGGAAAAGAAGCCCTTCCCCTTCTCTCTGAGATGCCGCTTGAGCCAGACACAATTCAAGGGCAGGGTTAGCTTTCCCAGGAATGAGAAGTAGCAAGTTCCCGGTGGCACAGAAAGCGAATTGGGAAGAGCACTGGAGCATGGGAACACTGAGGAGATCAGAAAGGACAGGTTTTCTAACCGGAAGGAACCCACCAGCAGGGAGGCCAAAGGCCTGCGTTGTGCCTGCCTCTGCTTCCATCCAGATGCTAAGACAACAGAAAACCCCACTTGCTTTCCTTTCTGGCATTGGCTGTCAGGAAGCTCAAAGCTGCTTCTGAAGCCTTATCTCCTCAAGACACAAGCAGAATATCATAATAACTTCACGGCACACCGGGCCCTGAGGCATCAGAGAATGGGCTGCTAAGGAACATCCAGGGTCCATCAGTGGCAGTTCAGGGACACACACTAGTTGGGAGGTTCTGAATGAGGAATTGGCCTAGTATGGGTGTGTGTGTGTGTGTGTGTGTGTGTGTGTGTGTGTGTAACATCCCATAGGCACTGAGTGGCCAGAATATTATGATCTCTGAATGCATAATAATCTGGCCACTCAGTGTAGACTGACCACAGAGTTGGGATTTTAAAATAAGGTTTTTCCATGTCTAAGATCTGCATTGTGGGTAATTAGAAAGAAGCAGAGAACTTACTAGCCAGAGGCTGGGGGCCACTATCTTCTGGTCCCTTGACATATCAAGATTTTCCAGCTTTCCTTTATACGTAAATACACTGAGTGGCCAGATTATTATGTGTTCAGAGATCATAATAATCTGGCCACTCAGTGTATATCTTATGTTATTATATATTAATATATAATGATATATTATGAACTGGCATATTATATACAATGTGTCTAATATATAGATACATATATTAGGGTATGTACTAGTATATAGGCTATATATCATATTTCTAGGCCCAGATATTGGTCTATATTTTCATTGTACTTATTCTTTCCTCACAATATATAGCTTTATATCTTTTTACACAATTTTATTTGCTTTTCATTGCAAATGTCCTCCATTATGATTTAGGTAAAATGTGAAATGAAAATTTAAAATAATGTGTGTGGAGGGTGAGGGTGAAGGTGGAAGAGGGTCTAGAAGGGATAAACGGTGATAAAAAAAAAATAAAAGTAGTGCGTCTTATTTTGCACGTTTACTACGTTTACCAGGCACTCTGAGTTTACTTCTGTAAGACCACAGCACTAATGATAATGCCTATTTCCACGGATTGGGTGAAATCCCCTCAAATAAAACACGTAGTTAGTGCCTCACAGATGTTACATGGTAGCCTTGTTATTATTATTTTCCTCTTTAATGCTGGAAATAGACTCGTGAGATAGCTGCTGCTTGGGGAGGGGGTAGATCTGAAAATGCAAAGCTTGGAGGAGTGAAGTGCTGGCTATAACCTCACAGACATCAGAGGCAAAGTGCGTCCCTGGATTCCAAGTTTTCGTCCAAACCCATCTTCTAGGCGTTCCGGTGTTCCAGCTTCCCGGGTCAAAGGAGGCTTTGTTGGTGGACTGGGCGTGTGTGTGTGTGTGTGTGTGTGTGTGTGTGTGTGTGTGTGTGTGTGTGGTGTGGTACCCACCTCCTCACACTCAGTCCTGGGCCAGCCAAACCCAGTTTGATGGCATAGAAGTGCAGCCCGGCGCTGAGCCTTGGGGGTTTGGAGGAAAGGGATGAAGGCGCAGTGCCAACTGGCGCCGCGAAGCCAGTCCAGGGAAGAAGGGCAAGACAGGCGCGACATCTGTGCAGCAGGCGGCTGCGCGAGGCTTCGGGAACACGCACACATTCCCTTCGGGGCCAAAGTGGGTGCTTTACGGATTGAATTGCTTCCTGAGACGCAGCGTCCTTTTCGCTAGTTCTGGGCCAGCGCTAGAAGTTAAAGCCAGAATGTGTGCATGTATAGGATGTATGTATGTATGCATATATACATGCATGTATATGTGCATATGGTGTAAAGCGAAGAAAGATCGCAGTCCCCTCTGTTGACGGGGAGTCTCACCTCCGTTCCCGTCCCTAGTCTGCGCGCCGCGGCGGCGTCCGGAGGGGTGATCGGCGGCCGGGCTTGTGAGTTCCCCTCAGCGGTCTGCGTGCAGGAGGGGGACCGGGGTTGGGGCGGGGGTGGGTTGGGGAGGAAGTGGGGGCAGCCGGGAAGGGCAGGATCCGGAGCTCCGGGCGGGCGAACCGACGGGAATACATCCTCGCCGAAGCCCGGAGGAACTGGAGAGGCTCCGGTCCCGCCGCCCGGTCGCATCTGATTTCCTGCGCCGATCGCCGGGCAGGCGGCCGGGGACGCGCCATTCCCACTGGGAGAGAAGGGTTAGTGCGCCCCTCGCTCCGGGTCGCCCTGTTCCAGGGTGCGCAGACAGACAGCAAAGATGGAAGCACAGGAGGCGCGCCGCTTTAAAAAGTTCTTAAAAGTGCAACTGCACTTGGCGTCTTTATGGGTCCGCACAGGCGATTGTACGAGCATTTACAGACATCATGCTGAGTGAAATAAGCCAGTCAATGAAAGAGAGACACCACAGGACCTCACTCATTTATGGATAATAAGGAACATTATAAACGGATGAACAGAAAGATAGATACAGAGACAGTAAAGCAACAAACAGACTGTCAAATTAGCGGGGAGGATGGAGAGATATGGGGGAGATAAGAGATCAACCGAAGAACTTGTATGCATGCATATAAGCATAACCAATGGACGCAAAACTCTGGGGAGGGAGGGCATGTATGGGAGTGGGGAGGTAATGGTAAGATATGTACACATATAATACCTTAATAAAAAAAATAAAAAATAAAGTAAATAAAATAAAATAAAGACAAGCGGTTCTGCACTGGTTACAGAGGAGCCCTTCTGGCGGTGATGGAAAGATCCCCTGTCTTGCTTGGGGGTGGTGATGACACATGGATGGAATTCTCCAAACTCAGCCTTGGGTGTGCAGTTTGGTAACTACTTTGCCGTTTGGCAACTCCACGCGCCTCTAGCAGCTCCCTCGGATGCAAGCCAAGGAGCTGGAGAGGGAGCTCGGCGGTCGCTGACGTCAGCCGGGCGGGGCCCGCCTCCCTATAAAGCCGGGGGGACAGCGGCAGCCCCAGCGGCGGCCCGCAGCGCCTCGCCATGAGCAGCCACAACTCCTCCCGGCTCCACGCTGCCGCCGCCGCCGCCGCCGGGTGCAGCTCCGGCCAGATGCTCCTGCAGCCCAGCTCCGGCCAGATGCTCCTGCAGCCCGTCTGGGACCTCCTGCGGAGCCGGGGGGCGCTCACCCAGTCGCCCTTCTTCCCGGTCATCTTCTCCATCACCACGTACGTGAGCTTCTGCCTGCCCTTCGTGGCGCTGGACCTCCTGTGCCCCCGGGTGCCCGCGCTGCGGCGCTGCAAGATCCAGCCCGACTGCGCGCCCTCGGCGCGGCAGCTGCTGTGCTGCCTGGGACGGACGCTCTACCAGCACCTGGTGTTCGTGTTCCCGCTGACGCTGCTGCACTGGGCCAGCGGCCCGGCCCCGCTGCCCGCCGAGGCCCCCGCGCTGCCCCAGCTGCTGGGCCACGTCGCGCTCTGCCTGCTGCTCTTCGACGCCGAGTTCTTCGCGTGGCACGTGCTGCACCACCGGGTGCCCTGGCTGTACCGCACCTTCCACAAGGTGCACCACCAGCACGCGCCCTCCTTCGCGCTGGCCACGCAGTACCTGAGCGCCTGGGAGCTCTTCTCCCTGGGCTTCTTCGACACGGTGAACGTGGCGCTGCTCCGGTGCCACCCGCTCACCGTCCTGGTCTTCCACACGCTCAACATCTGGCTGTCGGTGGAGGACCACTCGGGCTACGACTTCCCCTGGTCCACGCACCGGCTGGTGCCCTTCGGGTGGTACGGGGGAGTGGTGCACCACGACCGGCATCACTCCCACTTCAACTACAACTTCGCCCCCTACTTCACGCACTGGGACAGGCTCCTGGGGACGCTGTGGCACCCTCACGCCAACTAGCCCGCACCCCTCCCGTGTGTGGGGGTGCTTAGGGGTGGCTGCAGTGGGCAGAGGGGTGCCCACCCTCGGAACCAGGACTGTTTGTGCCTTTCACACTTGAATCAGAAGAAACACGCCTGAACTCTTTTTATTTTTATTTGTAAGTAATTTATTACCCGCTGGAAATTACCTGATGAATTAATTTATATAATTTTTTTGGTATATCAATAATTGTATACTGGGTGTTTTGAGTGCTAGCTCACTCCAGTAGCCTTGATTCCTGGATCAATGTAAACGTGTATCACTGGCATAGCATATTTAAATCATTTCTAAATGGATTTGTTTGTAGGACAAAAGGATGTCCTATGCTTGGAAGGGTCCTAGAATGAGACTAAAAAGAAAAACATATTTTTTAAAATGGAGAATCTGATGTCTGATGCTATACACAATGCACTATGTTCCTGCTGGACAGTAACTAAGATGATCATACTTTTTCCCTATTTTTATCAAAGAATTTTATATTTATATGGAATGAAATGTTATTTATGCTTTAAAAAAAAGAATATGAACCAAATAAGTACTGGCTCCTTATTTTATTGACATTTTGAGTTAAAAACAAACAAACAAACTAAAAGAGGGCGAGGGAGCAGGGATGGCAGGTGTCTGTCCCAGCATCCCTCTGCCCCATCTTGGGATGAGAGGAATCTGGTGGTGGGGTGTGCTGCAGGAGGGGTGGGGTTTACAGGAGAGGAAGAGGCAGAAAGAGCCTGAGTTTTGGCTTAGACATTTCAAAGAGGAAAAAACACTATTGTCCGACAGTGTGTTTTAAGTGATTTCTGCCTAATAGGCAACTGAAAAAAATTACCTTGTGAAAATTTAGAGAGATTAATACTGAGCAACCATTTGCTTATTTGGGGGGAGGGCAATATTGGGGAATGAATAGAATTATTGGGGTGCCTTGCTTTACAAAACCGGGGAGTCAAATGTGTACATTCGAGAAGCTGATAGGTACAGAAAGGCGTTCAGAGTGAACCCCCCTTTTTCATGAAGCGATTTAGTACAAATGACGATCATACGCATCGTCTCGGCTATCTGGGAATTTTGTATATTCACTTTTCTTAAGTAAACAAACATGCAAACTGCATGTCTATTTCTCAAAGGAAAAAAGTGAAATTTGACCCTACACACCCCCCTCCCCCCGTTCCTCACCTTAAAAAGAGATTGTGCCTCCGATGTTCTTGAGGATTATTTGTCACAGTAAGTGTCCCTGTTATTGCCCATCAAGTTCTCCATCCAGCTGCTGTCTGATTGTTTTAGTTTTATCTTTGGAGTGTAGTTACATAGGGCAAAGTTAAAAGTCAAGACAATTGAGACAGAAAAGTATAAGGAATGGCAGCTCTGTATTTATGGTAATTTTAGGCTCACTGCATATATGAACCAAACTATGTTGTATAAAGGTGAAAAATCCATCTAAAGACCAGGTCTCCACAGCTTGCCGAATGAGATTCCTCCAAATCTTTGGCAGAATGCAATTAGAATGCCTGGCAACTAACCCAGAGGCATTTTCCCAGGCTTCTCCCCAATGTGTGTGCTCTCTTGGCTTCTCCCCTAAGATTATCTCCTCCTCTGTCCTTAGCAAGACCAGGCGGGGATTTTAAGTCTATATTGATTTATAAAAGTGAAATCCACAAAAACAGGTAGGGAGATGTAAGAGAAAATTGCTGATTGGAGGTCAAATGTTAATATGATTAACAAAGCAAAGAAGGATGAAGGGGCAGGTGTTGAACATTTGATACAAGTATTTGTTGTTTTGAACACCTCCAATCTCCCCAGAGTTGCCTGCAAATCTTGAATCATGACATCTAGTCACAGTTCACTCTGAGAATTAAAAAAAATAATAATTTTATTGACTTTTTACAGAGAGGAAGGAAGAGGGATAGAGAGTCGATGGGAGAGAACATAGATGGGAGAGAAACATTGATCAGCTACCTCCTATTGGGGATGAGCCTGCAACCAAGGTACATGCCCTTGACCAGAATAGAAACTGGGACCCTTTCGTCCGATTAGGCCTCTCTGAGAATTTTAAACAATGTGTCATGTTGCCTTGCTGTATAGAGGAAATTTACAGGGGAATTTTACACTTGGGGCAAATTGTCCACATAGAAACTATTTGTGTTTAGAAAACTTTCTCAGAATCGAATGTCTTATAGTTTATAATACCTTGAGAGGTGGAAGTAGGGGTGTGGAGAGGATGAACAATTTTTCAGATAGCTTTGAGGACCTAATATTTCATCACGATCATTATCATAACAATTATGATAATGATGGTGATGAAATAGTTCACATTTCCATTCACTGTCACACACATTGCTCCTTACATTACTCTAAGGGAGGTAGGATAGTTATCATTTTTAAAAATTATTACAATTATCATCAAACGTTCTGGATAGAGAATTGGTACCTCCATAGGTTATGTGACTTACTCCTGATTCTGAAATACTAGAAGTTGAAGCCAGTTCTCAAACTTAGGTCTAGTAGTGTATACTATCCCTCTCCTCTGATGAAGCTTAAGATAATCTCCATCTTACCAAACTCGAGAAAGTTACAAACTGCAACACCAACAAATGGCCACTCTTCACTATTCCTCCCCAGCCACTGCCCCTTAACATGGTGCCCCCGGGCCCACTATTTCAATGTGGACGTCCTTGGGTTCCAAGCCTCTGCTGGGGAGGAGGGGAAGCTAGGGAAAGTAGGCCTAGGCCTTTCTAAGCGAGGCTTGGGAAAGCATGAGGTCAGGGCACTATTTTCCATGTCCCTTATGTACTCGATCTAGCACTTATGCTGAAGTCAGATTGCCTGGGGCAATCTTGACTCTGAGACTTAAAAACTGAGGGACTCTGGAAGAGTTAATCTCTCCATACCTTGCTTCCTTTCCTATAAAATGTAGACAATCATAGAACCTACCTCCTAGAGTTGTTGTGAGAGATTTTGAGCTACTACTAGGTGAATTGGAGGTCTTGGCCGTGTTTGCTATGATTGATGTTTCATGATAACATCAATCATGATGTTAGCCTTCTGTCCACAAACACGTTTCATGATAACATCAATCATGATGTAGCCTTCTTTCCACAAACACGTTTGAGCTCTTTCCTCTTACGGGGAATTAAAGAAAGCCATTTTTAATTTTTCTCCCATGAAAGCTTCCATTGAATAAGGTTTTTCTTATCATCTTTCAAGGCCAAAGTGTTGGAAAGAAAAAGACTGGAAAGTGTCTGACTCTACTCTGTCACCATGAGTCATCCCACCTCTTCCTAAACTCTCACCTCTGTTCACTGCCATCTTCCTAACTCTCAAATCCATTTTTAAAAATTTCTTTATTGATTATGGTATTTGCCCGCATCCCCCCATTCCCATCCCAAACCCCTCCCCACGCCTGCCCCCATATCCCTGATGTCTGTGACCACTGGTTAGGCTCATATGGATGCACAAAAGCCCTTTAGTTGCTCTCTCCCCCTTATACCCACCCTCCCCTACCCTCCCTCTGAGGTCTGACAGTCTGATCTATGCTTCCCTGTCTCTGGGTCTGTTCTTGATCATCAGTCTATGTTGTTCATCATTCCCCATAGATGAGTGAGATCATGTACTATTAGAAATACACTTATAAGAACCAAAAATGAAACAAGCAATAATGGTTATGTTGAAAGGCAAATGAATCAGTCTATAGTGAGTTTCTTTCTGGGCTAACAGTTCTTTTGAGTTCCAATTTCAATGTCAAACAGTTCCTATGTGTACATGTCAGCAATGATAGTTCAGTTCTGGATGGTGGACAGATGGTGGTAATGCAGGTCCGACCCTCTCTGGTTTGCTCCTGGGCAACCTGCAATGATGCACAGCTGCTGACTGGGCGTCGTCAGCGTCTTCTATCTCTGGACTGTTTCTCTTCTGTCTTCATGGCTGGAGTAGTCCTGTCAATTCCTTTCTGTTGCAGGAATCCACATGGTCTTGGAGTTGTCTTCTGAAAATATTCAAATATATTCTCAACCAAAAGTTAATAAAGGAATCTTTCCTATAAATTTGACTTGCAACCCTTTTTCATTTTTTGCCCAAATGATTTTTCTTTGGCTTGTTTTGACTCCATGTATGTTTTACATGGGTGTCTTGCTGTTAGCATTACAAATGAAAGTTAATTTTCTAAAGTAAAAATTTTCTAGATGTAATTTACTTACAGGATATTTTTCCTTACATTATATTCTTCTACTATCCCTCCTTTTTTTATTTAAATATTAGGAGGCTTTTAGAATTTTTATAATGCAGCCTTGATAGATTTTAAATTTAATTTTTTGCACTAAAATATGACTGCTTTAGGTTCATTACATATTATGCAATTTTACTATGAGATGAACTACCAATAAAAATTTTAGTTAACACTTTAGGAACAGCTTTTTGTCCAGTATAATTAATTTTTCTAGAATATTTGCTTATTTCAATTAGTCAATTTAAATTAGCCTGAAAATTTGATTTCTATTTCACTGTCAAATTTAATACTCTAACAACAATCTTATTTTACCCTGTAAATATTAGTGGAAATGATTATTTGCCTTTTTGAATAGGCCCTAAGGATTCCTGGTGCTAGGCTGAATTTAGATATCAAAAACCTACTTCCCCACACCATGAGTACAAGACAACTCAAACAAGTCTTATTGCAGTGAGAGGACAGCTGCTGTCGGCCAAGTCTCTGTCTGTTACCTGGGTCCCGATTTGGGCTGGGCACGGGAAGCTAAGCACCCATGGGGGCAGGAGACCTCCCTGAGAAGGAGTGAGGGGTTAGGCCCCTGCAAAGTTGGGAGGGTGAGGGTCTTTGCCCCACCTCTGTTGACCTCAAGTTCTCTCCTGCTGGCCCCTCTGCGACTATGCCTGTCTTAGGTTGTTCCTTCCCTGAGGAATCTTACCCATCTCTGGCTAACTAGCCATTCTCCAGGGCTAAGTTGGGTGATGTGAGGTTCAGTTCTATCTCCTTGGTA